GGGGGAGCCAGCACTTTCTGCTTAACAACTCAGCAGACAGAACCATAATACCTCCAGCAACCACAGAGAGGAGGGGGTCCCTTCCAAGCATCCCTGCAGCAGTGCATGATGTGACCCCCAGAGACCTTGACAAGCTAGCCAGAAAAATCCCAGCAGTCACATGGCCAGGAAAATAATAGTTCCTACTTTATGCAGTACTAGCAGTAATTTAGAACGGTGGCGTCATTTTAAACATTGCTTGCAAGCAGACCCAGTTATCAATCTTATGTGTCTGTCTCATAAGTTTTAGTAACTTTTTATACATGCGCATACCAGTTTCTGATCAAAATCAGATAAAACTATAGCTTGAATGTGCCTTCCTACAAGCAGTAGAAAGTTTTCAGTGCTGTAATGTGTTTAAATCGTACAATAAGAAACTAACCTGATTTTAGCGAAGAAATCCTAATTTCTGTTGTTAGTAGAGGGTACGCCTTTTCTGACGAAGAAATCTCATATTAGCAACCCCATATAAATGGTACCAGAATAAATCGGTCTGATCTTGGGCGAAGAAATCCCCACTTTCAGCACTGTTGTAGGTGATCTGAGCGATGCTCCTCATTTCACTGATTTAAGGCCTTATTATGTGTTACGTATCATTGTATTCATATTGATCCGCTCATGTGAAACATTTACGTCAAATTAATGGTGTTATTCTAGCGTAGCTAACTATGAATTCACCATTGCCTGTGAAGTGAATGTGCTGTTTTGATTTCTGAATGAAGTTGTATGCGACATGTCATAACTGACTGTTATGGCCCGCATTAGTTTCCCATGCATGTTCACCTAGCAACACGTGACCCCGGAAGTGTGAGCAGACTCTTCCGGTTAATCTGACAACAGCACCCACTTCACAGACCTTTGTGTAAACAAAGAACTGCGTATAGCCAATGCTAACTCTTTAGCAGCCGCACAGGCATTTAAGCTAAGCCCTTTACCTCGACTGCTAGCTGTTAGCATCTGACTAATACTTAGATAGGTGTCTGTAAAGTGTAACTTTCAGACCACTTCTCTCTCTCTCTCTCCCCTCACTCCTGGTTTCACTTCCGGTTTATGCTATCACCTTCTCTTTGGATTCAGTTAGGTCGGTCCCTCCCCACATACTTTGGTTTTACTTGTGTTATTTTTATTTTGACTTTATTCTACCTCTCTTTGATTTTATTTTCATTAATTTACCTTTGTTTAGCTTGAATGTACCAATTCAAGCTGATTTTAATTAAATCTGAGACTTAATTGAATCAATTTATCTATTTTTCCTTTTAGTTTCCTACAGCTATTAGGACCTTTTCGTTTTACTTTACCTTATTTTAGTTTATTTGACCATCATCATCCTCCCTCTTTGTATAGGATTGCAGTAGTTTTAGCAACTGATGTTTCCTTAATGAGTTATACAGGTTATTAGTAGCCTAATCCCTGTTTCCTCTCTACTCCTCCTCACTCCTCAGTGCCAGGCCTAATACATTGAAGTGCAGTTACTGTTCAACACAATGCAGGCCCAGATAGAACTAGGAACTTCCCATTGTTTCTTTTTCTTTTGACCTCGAGGTATTTGGTGTGTCCCTGCTAGCTTAGCTAACAGTCTAACCCTAGGTTTATGAGTCTATTGCAGCATCACCCACAAGTGACACCTGCTTAGTCATATCTTCTAGCAAAAAACTAAATAGGTAAAATCCTCCTTCCTTTTCCTTTTTGATTTCATCTTATTGTTTTATTTCAGTTTTGTTTTATTTGTTACCCTCGTAGTGACATTTGAGAAGAACCATCAATGTTTTGAGTAATAGTTTGATGACATGTACTAGCCCAGTCATTAGTCTACGCTGCTTGCAGCCATTAACAAAGATACTCAAAGTCCTTGGTTCTTTCACCAACACTAAATTGTAGCAAGCTGCCCCACATCAGCTATTCCCACCTTACACGGCCTACACAGCCGTTCCCCATACAGATAGCTTAACACCTTTGTACGTACTTGCATTTGCATTCTGCCTCTCTCTCTCTCTGGTGTTCCTACAAGTGTGCCAGTATGTCGCAAATATTCCACAGACATCCAGCCCTGCCAGCTCACCAGGACCACCTGGAAACCCAGCAGAGCACTGTGATGGACATCTTTCAGCCCAAAGCAGCCAACGACCTGCAAGGGCAGAGAAAGGAACAGCGAGACTGCGACACAAGTGGACACCTGACACCCAGCCTGGACAACCGAGAGCAGCTTGAAAAAGCCACCAGACAGGACTTGGAAAAACTGTTTCACACAAAACCCTAACCCCTAACCCTAACCCTCACTGTTAAAAACAGCGTATGTGAAACTTAATGAGAGAGATACTAGAGATAAGGCCTTAGAAGGCCATCTGCATGCAGCCAGAGCTGAGGTCTAAACCCTGACTCAGCAATTAAAGAGGAGCTTGACATGGTTCAGAAAGAATTGAAACAGTCCTACCGACTGCGCATGGACTCAAGTAAAAGACACCCTAACCAGCAGCCACAAGATGGTGGGGCAGGGACCTTTCCAGAGGATCACTGCATACACACACACCGTGTGACCCCACAGACCCCAACGAGCTGGCCAGAGACAATACATCTGGCAACCTAAATACTGCAGAGATCCTGAGGACATCAAAGGAACTGATCCTGAGAGTGGCCTCACCAGCAGCTTAAACAAGCCATCATAAAGGAATTCTCAGACCCAGAGTCTGAACACAGACTGATCACTGCCCTAGACACCAAACAGGGCCGACATGAAACTCCCCATGGTTACTACCACAGACTTCCACGAGCTTACTTTGGAGCTCGCAATTACCCTGGGATGGCGGAGGACACACCAGCTTCAAGAGCCTTTTCCTCCGAAACCTCCATCCTATTGTAAGTCACCATTTAGGCATTATAGCCTGCCGCACAATGCCTATTCAACAACTGCGTGACCTGACACAGAAGGCCTTTAACAAGCACAAGGCCTCCACTAAAGGTGTTTGTAAGACCCCACTGATTCTGAACTTCACAACTCAGAATCCAAAATGGACACCAGAAGGCACCCAGCATTGCCACAATGCAAGGCCCTTCTACAGAAAGACACCAGCCAGCGGAGGACAGAGCCGTTACCATGGCAACAGACCCAAGTCCCAGAGCACCCACTGGGAGAAGCCATGGAAAAGGGAATCCTCATCCTGCAAACACCATGGTATGTCCAACAGCAGCCCACCACAACATCCTCCTCCACACCCTTCACACAGGTGCCGAACAGAGGCTACACAAGAACAGCTGGACACGCCTACTTCTGAGTTACAGGAGCTTCTGACACTAGCAAAAGAGCTCCTTGAACAACACTCAACTGAGGAGTACTGAGAAGGACAAACTTCTGACTCCTTGCCTGACGCAACACAGCATCAGACCCCTCCAAACCAGACACACAATTTTTTAGTTATATTTAACAAATACTCTGTAACACCCCTCAGTCAACAAACCAACACGAGGGTCTATGGACCCTTCCCCCGAAATGCATCTAACACCTCAGAAAGGCAGATCAGGCCTCTGGTTCCATGGCAACCAATGCTGATATCACTGGTTTTATTGCCCAAAGGAATGCGGGCAGAGAAACTCACTCATTTTCCTCACAGGAAAGACACATAATACCCAGAGAAAAGGACTGTTCTCTAATTAATTCATAGGAAAACCTTTCTTTGAATGAACACGCATATCCTTCAGGTCATTGTGTATG